GGTGGAGGGAAGGACGGTATGAGTGTTTTCTACGATGCCGGGCTGCTGCTCGAGACCAACGCAGCTTCTGGGACTCCCTACAGACTTGGTGATGCCACTTTACTCTCCAGTCTCGTTGTTGTCCCTCTTCCTGCAGACTTATCGTGTTGTGTGGAGATGTATGGAGTATGTGGTAATCATAATTAAGCCTGACTGCTTCAGTCACCTGCCAAACAAGCAAACACTTCCATAGACATGGCCCTCTTTAGCTGCTGAGGCTGTTCCATGCAATATTTCTAATTAAATGTCAATAAGCAACTGCACTGTAAAGAATGAATAAATAAAAATCTGTACAAAAAAGGTGAAAATCTGTCAGCAAGGGTGCTAAAACCCAAACACATAAAGCTGGGGAATACGAAAACAGTCAATGTCAAACAGTCAGTGAAAATAATTGCAAATATCTGTCCTGTAATTCGATTTTTAGCTAATTTGAATACAGCAAAACAGTGTGATTTTATGGTCCCACCTTGTAAAAGAAGAAGTTGCTATTTATAAAACTCAGTATTTAATGTGGACATTATTTACAGTTTCCTGTTCGGCTTATTCATTTTTCTAATCATTAACTAATAGTTGTTTTGTTTGGGTTTTTTTTTTCGCAGTTTCACTAGATACTACATGTAATTCAGCCAAATCTGTAAAAATCCAATCAATCCTTAATATACACATTTTTATGTCAAATAATGACAAGTATCTGTAAAATAATTATATTTTTTGCTAATTTAAATCTAGAAAATGTATTTAATTTTATGGTCTTTTGGAGTGTTTTGTAGTGTTGAGTGTTTCTTTTGTATTGCTGGATTTTTTATTTTTTTTTTGCAGTCTGTGTCTAAGTACAACCATCCAAATGATTTTAGGATGACATCTACAGTCAATCTGTTCTTGCTTGCATCTTTTAAATATCTAGTTTTTGTTTCATTTTCAGAACTGAACTGTCCAACCCCCAGCAGGCGGAAACGAGACGCAGCTCTGATGAACGCCACAACCAGTTTATGTGAGAACCACAGCTCTCAGCTACCCAACATTCAGTCATCTCCTGTCATTGCTTCACCCTGATACACTGTAAAAACAAATCCATTAAAAAATATACAACTGTGGCAGCAAGTGTGCCAGAAAAAATACCTTAAAATGTTCAAAAACTGTAAAAAATAAATAAATAAATAAATAAATAAAAACAAAATTTAAAAAAAGACAAAAAACATCTGCCTATATATATATATATATATATATTAGCTGATCTAAACACAGTAAAGTAGCATAATTTTGCGGTCAGGTGTTATAATAACTATTTGTAAAATAACCAATTTGTGATGTGGGCATTATGTACAGTTTTGGTTTGTTTGTTTTTTGACTGCCAAATTGTGAAAATATTTTTTTCTGGGATTTAACGTTTTCTCATCTGTAGTTTAACAAAACAGGGACATTTTGTAAAGGAACAGAAATTATACTTTATTATGTCATACTTCAGCCCTAATATGGATACATTTTCTTTCAAATAGTGGCAACATATCTATAAAATGACCAAAAGAAAAAAAAAATTGCTGATTTAAATACAGTAAAAATGGTGTAATTTATGATCAAACTTTGGAACTTTTTTTAAAAGTTGCATTTAAAAAACATTTTTATAACTTTTTTTTATTTTATTTTTAAAACTGTGTAGGCTTTCTGAAGTATTTCAAAGGTGTCTGTCACAGTTTTGATAAGTTTTTTGGTAAGCATTTGATGCTCATAAAAATCTTTGTAACACAGGTCTTGTTGCTGACTGCAAGTTGTGATAGTTGATCCCTGCACAAGTTGCATGTATGAAGGACAGTCTCAGAACTTTTTGATCAACCCTCGTATATGTAAAATGTATAGCCTTCTATTTTGGAGGGGTGCCGTCATTGCATCCTGGGCTTAGCACCACCTCAGATGATTATGAGTGATGTAAAATAATACTAAAAAAAAAGCCAGTGTTTTCCATACTACAACAGAAGGAACATGAGGTGCAGCCAGATTGTACTTGAGCACTGTGGAGAAAGGTCTGGCTGTGCAAAACTAACGTTCACACTACTTGTCTTTGCCATGCTGTGTGTTTGTGGAAGGAAAAGTAAAACACGTAATCTTTGTAACGTTGGCCTTGTGGTGGATTGCTAGTTGACATACTGACAATTACCTCTTGCACGAGGGACAGTCTCAGAACTTTTTTTTATCAACCCTGGTATATGCAGAATATGTAGCTTTCTCCTGTAATAATTAGATGGGGTTTGGGTAATCAGGCTCTTTTATCACTGTAGTCTGGTATCTCATCTTTGTCTCTTCTTGCACAACCTGCTTTCTTTCCAGTGAGTCAATATGACGACGAACTGCAACGCGACTGTTGTTTGGACGGCATGAGGGAAACCCCTGTTTCATACACCTGTGAGAGGCGCAGCGAGTATGTCTTGGACGGCGCAGGCTGCGTCATGGCCTTCCTGAACTGCTGCAGGGAGATGGAACGCCTCCGAGACGAGAAGAGGGAAGAAGGCCTCCAACTGGCTCGCAGTAAGAGACGGGAACAAGGGCTGGGAGGTGGTTCTACATGGTGATAACAGCTATCAAACCAGCAGAATGCTAACATTTTATGAACCCTTTAGGTGAGGAGGATGACACCAGTTACATGGACAGTAGTAACATTGTTTCACGCACAAAATTCCCTGAAAGTTGGCTGTGGTTAGAAATGGAACTGCCTGCTTGCAGTCAAGGCAACTGGTGAGTCAGCTGAGACCTGTGCACATGCAAAAAGAAGCAGTACACTCATAGTTTCATTCATTAACCCATTAGCATCCACCCCTCATCCCTCAAACTGCTTCTGTGTTTCAGTGAAACCACATCACTCGTGAAAACTGTTCCTTTGCAAGACTCCATCACGACCTGGCAGTTCACCGGCATCAGTCTGTCAAAGACTCACGGTGAGGATTCAGCGACGACAGTCTGTCTCGTGTTTAATTTTGGCGTCCAAGTGTTTAAATCAAACCTTCATATGAGTCTATGCCCCTCGTCAAGATACCTCCTTTGCTATGTTTTATGCATTGTTTGTCTTTTGGTTTTATTTCTTTCTTTTTTAAGGCATCTGTGTGGCTGATCCACTGGAGATAATTGTCCGGAAGGACTTCTTTGTTGAGCTCAAACTACCCTTCGCTGCTGTCCGTGGAGAGCAACTGGAAATTAAGGCAGTCGTCCACAACTACACCCCCAACCGTCTCACCGTAAGTCTGGGTCATTCATGCACACAGGGATCTAATTTATTCCTGTTAATCTGTAGGTAGTTACACAAAGTAAGTCCTATTTTCATTCTTGTTTTTAAGGTGCGTGTGGAGCTGAAGGAGGAGCCGGATGTGTGCAGTGCAGCTTCTAGACATGGGAAATATCAGGAGGAAATCGAAGTTGAGGCCGGACGTGCACGAGCTGTACCCTTTGTCATTATTCCTATGAAGGAGGGACAGCACAAAATTGACGTCAAAGCAGCTGCTCAAACTCAGAGTGACTCAGAAATCGGTGATGGAATCATAAAGATGCTGCGGGTGGTGGTAGGAGAAACACACTCGACGTAATCTCTTTGTCTATTTCTTATGGCTTGTGAGCCGTTAAACCAACAAACTTCACATAGCACCTTTAACTGGACAGAGAAGTGAATAAACCTGTGAACAACAAAAAATAAAAATCTAATCCTATTGTGATATTTCTAAAGGCTCCTACTCCTGAACTGGCTGCATACCAGATTAATGAGTTTTGATTTTTGTCCTCGCTTTTGTTTTTCCAGCCTGAAGGCATAATGATGAAAGTGCCTCAGATTATACCTTTGGACCCTACAAAAAAAGGTGTAGGTGAGTTAACTTGTTGAGCAGCAGGAAAAAAGCACATTCATTTAATAATGTCTGTTTTAATGTTCCAATTTACTGTCCATTAACTACATTGATCATCAGAAATGTCTCGCGGCTTAAATATGATAAAAGGACCATTATAGTTTCAGTTTATGGTGATCTGAATGGCATCTTTTTTGTAATGTTTGAGGCTCAGGCATTGTGAATGGAATCACTGAAGGGATCAGTGTTGACCTTTTGGCTTGAGCCACATTGTGTCTGTTAGGCCTGACAACTCGGCTTCTGGAGGACAAAAACATAGCTCCAGCTGTGCTAACTGGCATAGATGGTGTAAATTTATGTAATTAAAGGCCTTGGCAATTAAAAAGTCACTAACTCTAGTCAAAACCCTTTCCATATTTTAGATGGTAAACAAGTAGAAATCATCAACAGCAAAATTTCTCAGAGGGATTTTGTTCCGAACTCACCGACCAGCACACAGATCTCTTTGACGGGTAAGTGGCTGCAGTATCACCTCTGCATTACCGTAAACTGTTACTTCCTCGTTCATAATGGTGAATTATCATACTGGTTGTGTGCAGGGAAAAAAGACAATGTGGTGAAAAACAGCATTACTGGAGAATCAATGGGTGCTCTGATCTACAAGCCGTCTGGCTGTGGAGAGGAGAACATGCTCCACATGACCCGGACTGTCATCGCAACCATATATTTGGACAAAACCAGCCAGTGGGAGCCTGTGGGCATCGATAGACGCGAAGAAGCCCTCCAACACATCATCACTGGTGGGTCACACAAGTTTTAGCACAGACGCTGATCATTTTGTATAAGAAACAAAGCAGCACAGAACCACATGATTTACCAGAACTGCTGACACATTGCAAAGCTTTTACAGCAGTTTCTGTTTGGTTTTGTTTAGGTTACCAGAACCAGCTGGTCTACCGTAAAATGGACGGATCTTTTAGTAGAGATCCTGAACAACAAAGCAGCACATGGTGAGACCCTCAAACATGCATACATTTAAACTCTTTGCACATCTTCTCGCTTAATTTCTGACCATGTGTCGATTTCATTTTTCACGTGCACACAAATGAAACTGAGCAACAACAGCAACTCCTCTCCTCTGCAAGGCTCACAGCCTACGTCGTAAAGGTGCTAACGATGGCCAACAGTCTGGTGGCAGTGCAAACCCAAGTCATCTGCGACGCCGTCAAGTTTCTGATTGTCAACGCGCAGCAAACCAGCGGCATGTTCAGAGAAGTTGGAGCAGTATACCACAGAGAGATGACCGTACGTGCGCTGATTTCATTAACATCAATCCTTCATTTTGATGCTTAGCAAAGGACTGCATCAAATTAACAACCCAGTGGCTGTTATTCTGCATGTATGAACAGATGTTGAATGTGGATAATGGTAATGATGATGACAGTAGTGACGTGCTTGTGCATGCGTAGGGTAACGTCTACGGTACAGATTCAGACGCCTCCATGACGGCCTTCTGCGTCATTGCCATGCAGGAGTCACGTACAACATGTGCTGCCACTGTTAGTGTAAGTACCTTTTATTGCTTTCATTTCCCCATTTACTTCCCCCACAGCGCTCAGTGAAGTTCAGTATGGCTCATGTTGCACTGGAGGTAAGGAGAAACCTGTTCAAGCCCCAGGGACACGTTGAAGTGTAACATTTATTAAAGCATCTCTTTATTGCCAGATCAATACAAGAAGCCCACATCATAGTCACAGACTGTTAAAAAAAAAATCTATAAAATATAATGTGAAAATCTGGCAGCAAGGGTGCAAGACAAAATCTCTTTTCTTTTTTTTTTTAAAATGGAAACTGTCAAATTCAAAAGCTGTAAAAACAAATGACCGTAAAAGAATGAGAAAACTATTTGTAAGATGCTGATGTCTGTTACAGATGTTATTTACAGTTTGGGCCTTTTTTTATTTTTATTAACAGTCAACATCTAAATTAATACTTTTTTGGTGACTTTATTAGATATAAATCTGTAATTTAACAAAACTGGATAAAACTGTAAAACATCAATTATATAAAGTATTTACCACCTTTTAACCCTGGATATGCTTTTTTTCCCTTTAAAATAATGGAAAATACTGTAAACAAACAATATTTGTGCTGTTTTAAATGCAGGTTTAAAAGAAGTGTCATTTTATAGTCAAATGTTAAAAGAACAAACAACAATTAAAATAAAAAAATACAGATTTTTGATGTGGCTCTTTTGAGATTTTTGTCTGTTTTTTTAATATGTAAAAAAGTAAAGATTTTTTTCTGTAATTTTACTAGATTTTAACTTTAACTTAACAAAACAGGGAAAAAAAGGTCAAGTGAAACTGTGAAAACATTGAAGTTTGACAGTGTAGATTCATTATTTTCTGATGATAGTGATTGTTCAGAGTCATAATAAGCACACAGGAGCATCACTGCCTTCGTGATATTCTAGTTATTCTAATGTAGGCGGTTCTGTTTTCTCACCTCAGTGAATTGGTCGTTCTAAATTTGACGCCAATATAGGAGTCAGTGTGTTTGTTATTGGTTTGGTGGCCTGTCCATGTGTCACCCTGCTTCTCGCCCTGTGCATGTTTAGATAAGCTACAGCAGCTCTAATAAACCCTCCTCTCTCTGTATGTCATCCACGCTTACCCTTCCCTCCTTCAGGGACTTTCAGCCAGCATTGACAAAGCAGCGACGTACCTGCGGAAGCGTCAGCACAGTTTAACCAACCCTTACGCTGTTGCCATCACGTCATACGCTCTGGCCAATGAGGACAAACTGAACCGAGAGGTCCTCTACAAGTTTTCTTCGCCAGGTGCCCAACAATACAGTCTAGAACATAAGATTAAAATAAAAATGAAAACACAGCAAATCTACATATTCTGCATAATATGCTAGAGCCCAACTGATGCACTGACATGAGTGGTGTTATTTTCAGCTCATCACAGGTTGTGGATACAGGCACAGATCACTAATCAATTATGAAGCACCAGTTTATGTATCATTTAAGGCAATAACCTTATGTACATCACAGAAGTTTGCTGCCTGTTGTAATGCAGAACTGTGTTTTCTCAGATGTCTCCCACTGGCCTACACCTTCTGGACGTCAGCACACCCTGGAGGCCACAGCTTACGCTCTTCTGGCTCTGGTGAAGGTCGAGGTGAGCATGTCCTACTTAATAATCAATTATTCAATCAGTCAATTGAAGTCAATTGTAAAGATCGAATCCTTCTACTGTATAAAGCAAACAGCATGATGTTGGTTTTTTTGGAATGACATGTTCAGAATTATAACTCACACTTAGGAAGCTGGTAGAAACTTGCATATAACCAAAAAAT